TAACGCAGGGTTTTAATCGTCACCGATTTAAAATACGACTCAAGTGAGAAGATGGTGCATCTTCCGAAGGTTTGCTTACTTGTTATCTATGTGGTGGATACAGTAGATTCCATATAAAAACTGCCAATATCATTTTAAATGAATTTGGAAATCTGTAAATCACTTGAGATGCTTTTCTGCAATGAATTTCTGTAAAACTTTACTGGAGGTATCAAGTGCAACGGCCGGTTAGAGCAAACGTACCGCGTAAAACTAACTACTAACAAATATCCGTCATCCTACCATGAAGTCGCATCGTGGGAATACAGCGACCACTGTGAACACTCACTATCATAGAGGGCAAAGAACGAAAGACGTCAGTAATACATCAAGGTAGTTGAATTCTTACCGTCCCCAAAACGACAGGCACTCTTAAGTGCTGATGTCGCATGGACCGTTGGTATAGTAGCGATGGTGGACAAGAAGCAAGTAAACAACAGTCACTTGTTACCCTAATTTAAAGTTACATCGACGTTTTAAAAGGGGAAAAAAACAAGACGAAATAGTGCGAACTGCAGATGCAAACCAGTAAGGGCCCGAGTGACTGGGAAGCCCTGCAAAATAATATGTACAGACTGCAAATGTTGTCCGATAGATGGCTCCTAGACTTAAATGTGCAAAAGTTTGTTGTCGTCCACCCGTGTTCAACAAACTACCCTGTACCTGTCAATATAAGGGCGCATTGCCTGAACAACACTCGAATTCCCGCAAAATGTCTGCAGAAAGACCTCGCTATTTGGATACAGACCAATCCGAAGCCATCGTTGCAGTGTCAGGACTGCAAACAAAGCCATGGGGGTACTGCAGGCTATAAAATGGGCATTTGTAGCTTTTGACGAAACCTAGTTGGTAAAGTTTACAACACTTTCGTGCGACCTCGCCTACAATATGGCATACAGGAGTGACGGCCATGGCTCATCAGAGAGAAAATGTGCCTCGAGAAAGTGCAGCGTCGTGCGACAAATTTGTCGCACGACGCTGCACTTTCTCCCACTGTACAGAAAACGGTACAGAAAACGACACTTATAAAGAACGACAGGAATGGCCAAATTTATTTCCTCTGTATTACAGGCAATAAAAAGGGGATTTTATCTTAGTTTACAATATCATACACGACCTTGAGAAAGGTTTGCATTTTGAGGACATCGTTTAGAGGCACCTGTCTCCTCGTCTTCATGAGAACTAATGATGCTGCACGCGAAAATGTCTAAGCTTAATCTCTGCTCGAATTCTTTACGCAACGAGCAGTAGAACAATGGAAGACGACGTCCTCACGGCTTTTCAAGAAACGCTTGGATAATCACGTGTCCCTTCTTGTCACTCAACGGTGTGAACTCGAAATAATACAACACCAATTCTAGACAAGATTTATTTGTAAAAACAAACCTACTCACATTTTACGAATACTATGCTAAAAGCGACAATTTTAAGCGTGCGTGTACAGATGTATGTGACGCACCGCTATGTAAAAAAAGGGTTTTCAAAGGCATTACCTATTAGCCTCACCAAATACACTGAAACTACAATAGGCTATCTGATGGAGGGAACAGACGAATTTGGTTAAATTTTACACTGAGACGAAAGAGGATCGTCATTCGGTTTAAGGCGCAATAACTAATAGAAATATCAGATACTCGCCTAACGTACTAATGAGTAAAAACAGCAGTCCTCTACGGATGTGCGGTCTGTCCTGGAATCCTAGCTGAAAAGTTGATCGCATCAAAGATAGGTCCACGTTGCGAGTCAGCAAGTGTGAAATATGCATTGATGGAGCTGACAGGCGCACCGGCGTGACGGGACGTAATGGGTAGTTCAACCCCGGCTGACGTTTTATAGCTGAAAAAATATCCTATGTTTTGTAATAACGGATAAAACTACGTTTTGAATACATTGTCGATGTTTATTAAGAGTGAACACAGCAACGAAAATGGACTATGACCTGTATGGTACTTATTAGGGCGGCCTAACAACAGCCTTTGCAAACAGTAGTTTGCAAACCATATCCGCGTTTACAATAGGCTATCGATCGGCCTATGTGCGAGCTAACACTTCGAGCTAGACAATCAATCGATAATTTGAATTTCTAGCTACATTCACTCACTGAGCTAGGAGCCAAAGGGACTGGCCACTACCTCAGGATCGAATCTTATTGGCTCAAGGGACATCGCTGACATACGTTTGTTTCCCTAACTTTGTTGTACATAGAACACTCAAAGACTTCCGCTTCTGCACACTTCCTGTCGTGTTCTCTCTTTGGGGGCTCACATGAGGCGTAGTTAGACGGCGAATATTTTGGCCTGGGCCTCCATTACAACAATTTGGCAACACATTGCGCAGAGATAGCTGGGCCTGGGCCTCCGTTATAACAGTACCCTTAACTGTCTTTAGTCTGTGCCTATATACCCTAAATATACTGATGTATACCGAGAACAGAAATTAATTTCTAAGGAAATTAAAAAGCTGAACTTTCAAAACCGATATAGCAACCAGAAGGCAAACAGAGGAAGCTGGTGCTCATTGCAGCTGTGCCAAGCAGCGGCAGAATATCGGCGAAATGCGTTTCTGAGCCTTTTGGCTAGTACCTGGGCTAGAAGTATGGTAATTTACAACAATAATTCGTATTGTTATTAAAATACGAATGATTGACGAAGATTATCTGACGAGAACGATAATAACAACAGTGGAAAAGAATAAAAGGCAGCAGTGAGAACGTTCAAATGAAATTGGACCATGGATAAACTACGTCTTCACGCCTAGAGCTAAGAAACCATGCTAATAAAAGCGGAACTGCCATACCTAGTTTAGGGTTGATCAGCTTCAGCTCCCGTTGATTATGCAGGTTGAGAAATAGCCTAACATCTGTGAGACTATAGGTTCCGGAGAGTGTCCCAGGAAGCGCCCCGACACTGCTCCAACCAACTTCACCAACTTCGTAATGTTCTGGTGTTCTTTTCCAAGTAAACTCCGAAAGCCAGGGCTCGAGGGCACTATTATTCACATTCTCCGTCAAAACGTCAAGATTGAGGCTCAGAGTTCGGGATGTGTTTGAACATCGGTCGAGAGGGATCTCAGTGAACATTTTTAGATGCTCAAAGCTGACATTCCTGTGGTCCAGTTTCTTCCTACTTTTGTTCTCTGCCTCCCTTTTGGCTGACCTTGAGACTGAAAATGTCATATTTGTTCTGTTCCTCGGTATGGCCTGGAGTTCCGGGCCGCTTGGCTTTGCGCGGAGACTGACAGTCACGCACCTCTCCTGAGCAATAAAAAGGTGCAATAAGTAAGTGAACAGTCCGCGACAGTATCAAGAGCACTAGTGTAATGGGTTCAGTTCACAAAAAAATCGGCCTGAAAATATGTTGAAACGGCAAAACTGTCTTGTAGGGCCGCCTAAATATATATTCCGCCCGCCCAACAGTTTTATGTATTTTTGGTTAAACATTTAATTCTTGGTTAACGAGTGTAAATGAATAGTTAATTGTGTTGGAAGTGATCAAAATAGAATCAAATCTATCGGCATAAACTCCTGTTGCTCAGGTAACTGATGCCTATTGAGGGAAATTCAACCTTAC